ATTATACTATAAATTGATAGTGATTAAAACAGCATGGTACTGGCACAAAAATAGAGAGGTAGATGTATGGAACAGAATAGAGAGCCAATAGATGAATCCAGCTACTTACCGGTACCTGATCTTTGACAAGCCAATTAAAAACATTGAGTGGGGAAATTTTCTGAATTCTCATGGCTATAAGAAAAACACCTTTGTTACACTCCCTAACAATAGGATATATCAACTCTGATTTGCAACCCAGCTCACTATAATTCTGATTAGAAAGAATATTGGCCTTATAAATGTTCTTTTCTGATAAGTAACTGCAGATTTTAAGCCAGTTTTATTCAGCTTATATGGGCTGTGCACAAATTGCATTTGTGCTGAGTTCACCTTTTGTCATCAAGAGCCAAATTACATGTCATTTTAATGCAAAAACCCTGCCCATAAGTGAACATGGGATGTATGTCACATTACCTATTGTACATGTGCTCAACTCCCCTCATAAGCATGTATAGAGTCTCCCTAAACCTGCTGAATATCTGTGACTCTGCCTATTTGGTCCACATCAGAGACTATCTCTTCCTAGTTTGGAAACTGTTATCATCAACAAAGCTTTTCTTTCTACTATTTAGCCATCCTGGTGGTCTTTTGGACAACTTTAATAAGCTCCCTAGGGGGTTTCTGGGAACATGAACGTACTGGACAGTAAGTTCCATCAGAAAGGGGAGTTTGTCTTGTTCACTCTGTTTTCCAGCACCTACAGCAGTCGTTGGCAAATAGTGTGTTCCATAAATGTTTATGGGCTGAATGAGTCGTCTGAAGAGGAAAATGCTATACCAACAAAGAGTTATAAAATGCAGAGTGGTATTTAGAAAGTATTGGAGAGACATTCAAAAATGGGGTTCAAATAAACTTTTTAAAAAGTGCAGGTCTTTCATCCAATGAGCCTTCCTGGAAATTCTGAGCTGAGTTTCCTAGTTTAGGAGCAGCCTCCAACCCTCTTCCCTGATACATACAATATTATATATCTCTTTCTTCTAATCACAGCTAAAGTCTTCTTGGCTTAAACTCATTTTTACAGAAAAGACACTGAAGTATTTTCCCTTCAGCATTGCTATTGTTGTTCTGATCCAGGACAATGACTTGGCATCTATCTTGTTTTTGACAATGAAATTTTTTTTTTATTGAAGTGAAATGCACATAACATAAAACTTATTTTAAAGAGGATAATGCAGTGACATTTATACTCTCACAATGTTGGACAACCACTCGCTCTCTGAAACATTCCAAAATGTTTTCATCACCCCCAAAGAAAACCCTACATCCATCATCAGTCACTCCCCATTCCCCTGCCTTCAGCCCCCGGGAACCACAGATTTCTATCTCCATGGATTTGCCTATTCTGGATACATCATGTAAAAGGAATCATGCAATTTGTGGTCTCTAGTGTCTGGTTTCTTTCACTCAGCATGATGTATTCAAGCTTCATCCACATTGCAAGTATGTGTGAGGACTTTATTCCTTCTTGTGGTGAATAATATTTCATTGTATAGATATAGCCCATTTTATTTATCCATTCATCTATTGATAGTTTTTTTTTTTGAGACAGAGTCTCACTATGTTGCCCTTGGTAGAGTGCTGTGCCATCACAGCTCACAGCAACCTCAAACTCTTGGGCTTAAGCGAGTCTCTTGCCTCAGCCTCCCCACAGCTGGGACTACAGGCACCCACCACAATGCCCAGCTGTTTTTTTGTTATTGTTGTCATTGTTGTTTTAGCAGGCCCTGGCCAGTTTCAAACCCACCAGCCCTGGGGCACGTGGCTGGCACCTTAACCACTGAGCTATGGGCGCTGAGCTTATTGATAGATATTTATGTTGTTCCCACATTTTGACTATTGTGAATAGTGCTTCTATGTATATATATACGTGCACAAACGTTTGTTTGAGACCCTGATTTCAATTCTTTTGGATATGCACCCAGGGGTGAAATTTTTGGGTCATGTGGTAATTCTATATTTAACTTTGTTGAGGAAGCTGGTAATATAATTTTATAATGAAATGTTCTTGTGGTTACATGATTACTCATTTGTTCATTGCTTCAGTTAATATTCCTTGAAGTCCTAACATGAGCTTGGTCTTATTTCTATCTTTAAGATGCTTACAGTCTAGGGGGGTGATTATGTGACATTATTATAGGTCATAAAAATGTTGTCAGTCTACTGCAGACAATGATGGATACTACGGATGTAATAGGTACTTCTGTCCAGGCACTGCTTTAAGTACTTCACACATATTATTTCATTTAATCTTCCCATCCATCCAAGTAGGTGGGAACCATTATTACTTCATTTCACAGGTAAGTAAATCACTTCTTGGAGAGTGTATGATAGTTGATTTTGTATGTCTACTTGACTGAGCCATGGGGTGCCCAGATATTTGGTCAAGCATTAAACTGGATGGGTCTATAAGGTGTTTCTAGATTAAATTAACATTTGAATCCATAGAAAGAGTCAAGCAGATTGCCTGCTCTGATGTGGGTGGGTTGCATTTAATCCATTGGGGGCCTGAATAGAACAAAAAGACTGACCAAAAGGGAATTCCTCCTGCCTGACTGCCTTGATCTGGGACATTACTTTTGACCTTTGGATTCAAATAGAAACTTTAGAGTTAAAAATTTTTTTTTTTAGACAGGCTCTCATTCTGTCACTCAGGCTGGAGTGCAGTGGTGTCATCATAACTGACTTTAACCTCAAATTCCTGGGCTCAAGTGATCCTCCTATCTTAGCCTCCAGAATAGTTGGGATCACAGGTGTATTATACCATGTCCAGATAATACAGGGTCTTCCTATGTTCTTTAGGCTGGTCTTAGCTCCTGACCTTAAGTGACCCTCTTACCTCAGTCTCCCAAAGTGCCTAGATTTACAGGCATGAGGCATCATGCTCAGCTAAAACTTTGGATCTTTAAAAATTTTAAGCCTGCTGGCCTTTGTGCTGAAATTACACCACTGGCTCTCATCTCTAGCTTGATAACCACAGGTTAGCTTTCATAATCACAGAAACCAATTCCTTATAATATTTATCTATTCACATACTATTGATTTGATTTTTGTAGTGCTGGCATTTTAACTCCTGTCTATTTATCTCCCCACCATGGAAACATGGGAGAGGGGCTCTTAACTCAGATGAAAGGGCTCAGGGAGGGCTTCCAGTAGGACATGACACCTGAATTTAGTCTTGAGTAAAGAAGAGTGGAAGATAGCCCTCTAGCTGAAAAATTGGGAAAGAGAGTTTCAGGGAGAGAGAATAGTGTGGAGGCCTGGAGTGTGGGAAGACAAGGTATGAACAGTCCAGCTGGAGTGAAGGTGGGAAAGTGTAGAGAGGATTCTAGTAGTAGAATGGGACCAGCCCATTCATTCTACTAGACATTATGTTCTTAGAGGCATGGATCATTCTCTTACTAAATTCATAGTTGGGGCCAGACATGGTGGCTCATGCCTGTAACACTAGCACTCTGGGAGGCTGAGGCAGGTGGATTGCTTAAACTCAGGAGTTTGAGACCAGCCTGAGCAAGTGTGAGACTCTATTTCTACTAAAAAAACTAACCTGGCAGGGGGGATACCATTATCACTAAGGTGGTTTTCCTAGAGTAAAGCTTATCCATTGCACTCAGGATGTGCTGACCCTTGTGATTTCCCCACATGTGGGAAACTCAACTGTGTAATTTGTGGTATGGGGACTACATTTGCACTTTCCCCTGAAGAAAAAAAAAAAAAAGAAAAACTAGTGGACATCATGGCGGATGCCTGTAATCTTAACTACTCGAGAGGGTGAGGCAGGAGGATCACTTGAGCCCAGGAGGTTGCGGAGAGCTATGATGATGTCACATCACTCAAACTCAGGGTGACCGAGTGAGACTCTGTCTAAAATAAAATTCAAAATTGGTTTATAGACATTAAATGATTACTACCTGACAGGTGCTTTCTTGGTCTCTCTCTTGCTCTTTTAACTTTAGTACAATCCATTTTCCCTTCTCTCTTTTAATAATTAAATGAATTCTACAAATTTTATCTGGGCCATGCTGCTCGGCTATAGAGCACACTGTCTCAGCCTCCCTTGCATCTAGCTTGGACCATGATATGTATAACTTCTGGGTTTTCACTTTATGATGTGTCCCCAAGATATTATTAGCATATCATAGAGTGAATAGACGCATCCCATCTCTCTCCCAGGCTCCTGTCCTCAACCTCCATTATAGACAACTTGTTCTGGAGTGGGCGGTAAAGCAACAACAAAAAGAGATTTCGAATTGTTAATGGCCTCATGGAGCAGAATCCCTCCATCAACCTGGACAGTTCACCTCTGGATTTTTGACTCAGAGAGTAATAAAGATCCAGGTTGTTTGTAGTGCTTATGTTTCATTATTTTTTCTTTATTCTTTTGTAACATTATATTTCCATTATGTGCTCATTATAAACATTTAAAACAAAACTGAGTCAAACATATAAGTCTCCTCTCAGCTCACATCTGTTGATGTACTACTCATTTTTTTCACTTAATAAAATATTTCAGACCCTACATTTAGTTCTGGTGTATTCCTTTTAATAGCTGCATAGTATTCCAAAGTAATTTTTTTCATCCATCTCCCTTATTGGGAGACAATTATTTTGTAATTTTTTTCATTGTTTCAAATAATGCTTCAATAAATACTTTTTAAGAAATCTCTCTGTATCCTCACTCTCTCTGTACCCTATATATACAGTAAACCTGCATAGTTGACCATCTCCTTACAATGTCTACCTCCTTAAGTTGACCTAATTTTCAACTTCATTGTGTGTGTGATTTGACACACACAACATGTACTCAACAGAAATTCCCTATGTTGACCACCTCTATATGTTGACTAGTTTGTTATAGTCCCTTGGGTGGTAAACTTACAGAGGTTCTACTGTATTTTAAAGATCTATCTATACCATTGGATGTATTTTGGTCTGTTTGTTGCAGAAGCTCAGCATATACCCTAATATACTCTCTTAATCTGTCTTGGTCTGGGATAGACCCCTGTTTTAGAAGACAGTATACACACACATGCACAATCATCCATACATATAAACACACACACTCCCTTTATCTATATCATCTATATCTATCTATATCTATATCTCTACATATATATCTCTATATCTATATCTATATACAGGACCACCTGTGTATTCCCAGATCTGGGTATACTTGAGTCCCACACTAGCTCCTTCAAAATTCAGGTATAGGAAAAGTTGGTCTTCCCTATGTGTGGGTTTAGCATCTTGTGAATATTTTTGAGCTATGTTTGGTTGAAAAAAATCTGAGTATAAGCAGACCTCTACAGTTCAAACTCATTTGTTCAAGCGTCAACTATAGTGACATACATAGTGATATACTCAATGATATATAGTGATATATAACTATATATACACTATAATTATACATAATATGGAAATATACAAATGTTACGTAGTAATATCATATATCTTTATGTAAAATATATATACCCTACCTTAAATCCACCACCACTTGCTGATTTGGGGCTTTGTAAGTATTGTTACCTGGCTAGGTTCTGGGGATCAGTTTTTACTCACCTCTTTCTTGCCTTTGTTTGAAGGCGTGACATCTGCAAAAGATATGAGGGAGTTATTATTGGAATTGAGAGTGACCAGGTAGAGGGGCAGTCAGTTAAGGTGGGCAGCTTTGCGCCTAGTACAGTGGTTCTCAACCTGTGGGTCATGACCTCTTTGGTCTGTATTAAAGGTTCGTGGCATTAGGAAGGTTGAGAACCACTGATCTAGAAGGTTGGAACTCATATTCTTTATGTTTACTGACATGGTTACTTGTGGTTACCCATAAGTATGGGTCCCTTATGACGTAGAGCAGTGGTTTTGAACCAGTGGTGATTTTGTCCTGCAGGCAACATTTGGCAATGTCTGGAGACAAGAATGTCTTTTCTAGTGTTAGACTCAATAGAAAATGAGGAAGGGAGGCAAGAGAAGCAAGAATTTTCTTACTCTGACATGTGTTCTCACTGGAACTTTTGAATTCTACATCCCCAGAAAGAAGCTTATATCCAGGGACACAGCGGCAGTAGAAACTTCCTTCAACATTCTGACATTCACCATTTGGTCCACAGTATATACTAAAGGGTGGTTTACATTCATTAATATCTGGAACACAAAGGAGAAATTTGGTCATCCATCCAACAAAGATTTACTAAGACATGTCTGGAAGTTGTGCTCTTTTCCCCAGAGCCTGTTCTGGTTTTCCAAGATAAATCAGCTTAGGTAATGGTCATTTTTGTTTTTTTCTTTCCTTATTGACTTTGATTGGGTTCTCCAGAAACCAGACACTGAGACAAGAATTTAAGAGCATATACTTGGGAGGTGATACTAAAAAAACCTGGAAGGAAGTGGTGAAATGAAACAGGGAAGGGAAAATAAAGGGAGTTCCCCCTTTGGCAACTGGGGCGTAATTGCTCTGAGGACTTCTGAGAGGCAATGTAGAGCACACACTTCACCATGATCCCACCTGAGGAGTGAGGGATCTGGAGTATTTATACACTAACTCCTGTGACTTATTGGTGGAAGGCTGTGCAGACTTTTTTTTTTTTTTTTGTGAACATGTAATAGGTTT